AGAACTGTGCTGTTTTTCTGGGATTTTGTTTTTTACTTTTTTTTTTTAATGGAGAGTGCTGGATGTCTGTACAATTTTGTTCAAATGACTGCAGAACCTGGAAAAGCTGTTGCTGCTATTGATGCATAACATACTGTCTATATATATATATATATATATATATACATATATCTATATATCTATATCTATATCTATCTATCTATCTATCTATCTATCTATCTATCTATCTATCTATCTATATAAAACGCCTTTGGTTCAAAGCCTAGCACCACAAAACAAAAAGAACCCCCAGGCCAAAATCCAAATCAAAACCTCAGTTTTTCTTTTAAGGGTTATCTTATTTTAAATTATGTGCATATGTGTGTGTCTATGAGCTTATGAATGCAGGTGCCAGTGGTGGCCAGAAGAGGAAGCCAGATCCCCACGCACCTGAGTTAGAGGTGGCTATGAGCCACCTGATGGGTGTTGGGAACCAAACTTGGGTCCTCTGGAAGAGCAGTACACGCTGTTAACTGCAAAGCCATTTCTCCAATCCTGACCTCCTATTGTTTATAAGTAAGCTAGTCACTTATTGTTTGTAAGCAATCTAGTATTGATTATAAGTAATCTAATTATTTTGTTACAGCAACCAAACCTCACATCCATGGCTTGCATGTGAACTGTTCTCCCACAGGCTCAGGTGTTTGAATGCTTGGTCTCCAGCTGATAGTACTGTTGTGGGAGACTGTGGAATCTTTAGGAGGTGGGGCTTAACTCAGGTAAGTGGGTCATTGGGGGTGGGTGTGTCTACGTCTGCCTTTGAAGAAACAGAACAAAAAAACAAAACAAAACAAAACAACAATAAAAAACCAAGGTAGAAGACTTCTGGGAAAAGCAACACCCAGGTAGATCTTTTGCCTCCACAAACAGGTGCCCACACATGTACACACCACACGAAGACACACCCACACCTGTGCCACACACAGAGAATAAAGCAGATAAATAAGTTCTGGAAGCCTCTACCTGCACCATGTGTCCTTCTCTACTGTGCTGGGAGGGGCCAGGCTGAGAAAGAAGTTGGGGAGGGGCACTCACAGCTGGCAGGAGTGGGGCAGGCTTGACAGGGTCTGTTTCAGGCCTGCCCCATGTTGTAGGAGCAGTAACACATCTTCCAGGTCACATTCAAGGTCAGTTTGTTGCTGCATGCACCATTGTAGTGGTGCTGGAAACACACGCCCTTTCTCACGTCTGCAGTTGAGGTGGGGGCAAAGAATGTGAAACACCTTAACTGGTAAAAGTGCTAAGCGCCAAGCCTGACAACCTGAGTCTGACTCTTGGGCACACGTGGTTGAAGAAGAGGACGGATCCTGCAAGTTGTCCTCTGATCTCCACATGCTCAGGTGTTTGTATGCTTGGTCTTGCCACGATGCACAAGAAGCCCCCATTTCCCATGTAATAACCAAATAAAGGTAAAAAGACAAGATATGGGAATGGGTCCAAGTCAGAGGAAGAATGCAATTGGAGAGGGAGTCTATCCGTGGACCCATGTGAATGCGTCGGCCTGAGGCTCTTCTCCAATCTCTTTCAGGCTTTGTTGGTCAGTGCATGACCTGGGAGGACCACTTGGCTGCTCTGGGCTCCTAAGTCCTGCAGCACCCTTCAGTGTCACATATAAGTACATCAAGTACATGCATGTGTACTCTGTTTCTTCTTTCAAATATTCCTCTCTTGGCACCTTCCAAGGCTCTGAGGCTCTTGGCAGTTCTTCCCACACCCACGTTCTACCATAGCAACCCCCAGTCTTTCAGCCCTCAACCCCCCAGTCATCACGCTTCCTACCCACACAGTGGTTGCCACCACTGACCTGCAGATAGTCTGCAGGGCAGACACAGGTATAATTTCCTAAGTTGTTGTAGCATGTGCTAGGGCTGCAGATGTCTGGGTGTATTGGAGCATTCATTAATATCTGCAGGGGAGGGAAGAGTGGAAGAGGACAGGAGAGGAAAGTTAGAGATTGTCTGGGAGACTCTCTTGGGGGGTTCCCTACCTCAGGCCAAGTGAAGTCACTTTATTTTTGTCTTCTATTCGGTTTTACTAGCTTAAAATTATATAGGTATTTGGGCCAGGGAGATTGCTCAGTGGGTAAAGTGCTTGCTACACAAACACGAGGATCTTAGTTTGAATCCCCAGAACTCACATACTAGCAGGATATGGTAGCACACACGAGGAACCCCAGAGCTCCTATAGCAAGGGTGGGCAGAGACAGAAGAATCTCAGGAGGCTGTGGGTAGCTATCCTGGTGCACATGGAGCAAACAGACCCTGCCTTAGATGAGGAGGAAGGCAGAGACTAGCCCAAGGTGTCCTCTGACCTTCATGAGCACACCATGGCATGAGTACCCACATTCACACTATCACGGGTTTTGTTTGTTTGTTTGTTTGTATTTTGGTCAGTATATTTTATTACCGCAACAGAAACCAGGACTGACACTAAGAGACAATATGCCAATAACGAAGAGTAATAAAAGCAGGAAGTGGGGCCGTTACTCCCAACCCTAAGGAATCATAAGAAAGAATGAATAATTGTATGTAAGTATGCTCCCTCCCTAATTCATTTCATTAGAGGAAATGAATACATTTCCAGAAGCATACAAATACAAGAAGAGGAGCTCAGTGGTTAAGAGCATACATATACTGTTCTTGCAGAGCCACTGAGCCACTGAAACCACCTGTAATTCCAGCTCCAGGGGATCTGATGCCCCCTTCTGGCTCCTATGAGTACTGCATTCACGCACACAATTAAAAATTAAAACCTTTATGATTTACACACACACACACACACACACACACACACACACACACACACCCCGGGTTGGGTATTGAATAGGAGTATAATATAAAGACACAGAATACAGTAGTATAAAACCTTTCAACCAAGACAATAGCCCAGGACTAAATGGCTTCATTGGTGAATCCCACCACATATTAAAAGAATACCAATTACACTCAAGCTTTTCCAGATAGTAAAGAACCACCCCTAACTCACCCAGTGATATGAGAATCACCTCCATATCCAGACTAGACAAAGATAGCACAGGAATAGATGCTGCAGGATGGTACCCCTATGAATGCCCCTAAATGCAAAGGTCTTCCATAAGTGGTAGGAAACAAGGGCTGGCAACGGGGCTTCCTAGCAGCTGTCCAACAGGCATGAGGCCCTGAGTCCCATCCCTAACACTATAAGAGGGAATACATGAAGCCGTTATTAGGCCTGGGAAGTCACTTGCCACGCACTTGCCACACAGGCCTGATGACCTATGTTCAGATCCCTGGAATCCATCTTAAATGCTGGATGTGGGATATAGAGATGGCTCAAAGTGATGAAGTTCTCACTCTACCCTTCTATTGGATCTGAGTTCGGTTCTCAGGACTAATGAGGCAGCTTACAGCTGCCTGTAACTCCAGTTCCAGGGGATTCGCCACCTTCCGACCTGCACACAAGTATACACATAGAGGCAGACATGTCTCCTACATTGAGATGGAAGGTGGAGGCAGAAGCCTTAGTTTCGTCATCTAAAACATGGAATCATAATAGAAAAACCTTCCTCATAGGGATGTTGCAGTGGTTAGATACTAATTGAGGATAGGCAGCACAGTGGCAACCTACAGTCCTGGCCATGAGTCACTCACTGTTGGGCCACCACCACCACAGTGCTCAATCAAGGATATGTGAAGTCTGTAAGTCTGTTCGAAAGCAAAGGTGAGACCATTCCTTCCCATGTCTTTCCTTTCCCACAGTTAGCCATGGATCTTGGTCAGCTTTGGTTCAAGGGAGGAAGATGAATGTTGCCATTAAGCTATGCTATTCCCAAGTGAGTAGAAGGAATAAGGAAGGGGTCTGGACTGATGCACGAGAGAAATGGTGGGGGGTGGGAGTTGGCAGAATGTAAAGCAGGGCATTCCGTTAGCCTTCCGTTCCTGACCTTAGGAAGCTTGGCAGAGCAGCATGGCAGAGATGGAGAGGAAGTTCCTGGCCTAGCCCAGGTGGAGTCCACACTCACCCTCACAGGTGCGGGTATCTTCACTGAGGCTGTATCCAACAGGGCACTCACACTGGAAGGTACCAAAGGTGTTGGTGCAGATGCCTCCCCGGCACAGTCCGCGTAGCTCCTGGCATTCATTGATGTCTGTCAGGAATTGAGGAAGCTGAGGAGGAGAGCTAAGTCTAGCGGAGGACTCGAGAGATTCCCCACAGGCTGCTCTGGGATCCTATGGGCTCTTTCAAGTATCCCCCACCCCAAGAGTTTTCTCCACAACTGTTGGGCATTTGGAGAATCTATCTCAAAGGCTGGACACTTGAGTCGGTGATGGCCTGAGCCCAATTCCGTTATTTCCATCTTAATTTGACCGTCGCACGCATGATAGTTCCCTCAGGTTAGAATAGCTTCTCTTCCATCACTACTTCCTAAGAACAGAATTGACAGGAGGATTGATGGCTGGATATGAAAAGCAGTGACTGAGCATTCAAGCCAGTCAATGGATGAGAAGATGGATGTGTGGATGAATGGAAGGGTGGGTAGACAGGCAGGTAGTTGGATAGATGAGTATAGAGGATGGTAAGATAATAGTGGTAGGTGGAAGATGGGTCAGTGGGGGGATGGGAGAATGTGTGTATGTTTGGAGATGGAAGGATGGATGGATAGATAAGAAATGGATAGATGAATGGTTGGGGGTGGATGGGAGATGGATGAGCAGATGGATAAATGGGGGTAATTGAATGAGTAGATGGTGTGGTTATCTGAATGAGAATGGACCCTCTAGTATCACATATTTGAATTCTTGGTTCCCAGTTGGTAGAATAGCTTGGGAAGGATTAGGATGCATCGCCTTGTTGGAGGAAGTTATTCCTGCCTGCTACTCCACTCCCTGCCATGATGGTAATGGGCTCTAACCTCTGAACTATAAGCTCTAAACATTCTCTTTCTTCTATAAATTGCTTTGGTCGTGGTATCTTATCACACAGTAGGTAAGCAACTAAGACCAAAGATGACAGAGGCTGGGTGGATGATATGGGTTTTTAAGTGGATAGGTGAGAAAATGGATAGGTTGGGGATGAATGGATTATATGGTTGGGTGGGAAATGGGATGGGTTGATGAGTGATGAGTGGATGGACAAATGGGTTTAGATAGATGAATGTGAGATAGTTGGAGGATGGATGGATAGATGAATAGATGGATGTATGGGTAGGTATCCATGGGTGGCTCGCTGACTGGTTGTTCAAAAGGATGGGTAGATGGAAGCTGGAAGAATGGATGGATGGAAGAGTGGATAGATGGAAAGCTTAGTTAACAAACCAACAACTGACAGAAGAAATGACAGAACAGACTAAAAATTTCATGCATAATTTGGTTCTACAACAAAGCCCCCATGTGGGAAGACATGTTCTCCAAGGCTGCCCACATGGCACTTGGCAAGGTGTGGATGAGAGGAAGGCCCATCAGTGTGTAGGTGTATCAACAGCCTGTCAGGTACTCACCTTCCAGAATCACAGTGCTGGGATTGGGCCGGAAGCCCTTACCACCTGGGCACAGGGTCCTATATTCTGCTGCAAGGGAAACAGACTTGATGAGTGGCTGTGAAGAGAGGCACTTGGATGGGAGAAGGGGACATTACAATGGTCCCCCTTCTTTTGCTTTGCTAAACCAACTATGACTCATATCCTCAGCTTTGGGTAACTGCTTAGAGATTTCAGTGTTTTTGTGATGGTGAGTGTGTATAAACATGGATTCCTATCCAGTGCCCGGACAGGTGCATCATGAGGGATCCTGTTCCCACTGTTGTTTCTACTTTACTCATTCTCCAAGCCTGTACTCTACTTGGGACCTACAGTTCCCGGATCCCTAGTCCCCAGCACAAGGCATAGAGGAGCCAGTTTGCTGACTGGTCGAGTGACAGATTGAATATAAACACAGGGAGAATTTACAGAAAGCAACTGTGGAGACAGGCCTAGCCTTTGAACTGGCAAGGAAATGCTTTGTGACCCAAGATTCCTTTCCTTCCTGGTTCTACGTCTTTGTCCCCCAAAGCCTTCTGCAGGCAGAGATGACCTGCAAACTTCTGAGTCTCTGGCTCAGGCTCACTGGCCTGCAGGGACTCACAGGTGTTGCCGATTGGACATGGCTTGCAGGGGTTGCCCCAGGCTTGGCCCAGGGAACAACAACAAGATGCTCTGCTGACTCCAGCTCCAATCGCTGCACTACAGGAAATGCCACCATCACCTTGGTCACTCACGTCCAGGTAACAGATCCCGACCAGGGTGTCTGCACAGGTAAAAATGAGTTGTTAGGCATGAACTCCTGAGCTAATTGGGAGCATGAGGGTAAGGGAGAAGGTGCTGCCACAATAAGAGCACAAGAAGAGGAGTAGAGGAGAGAAAATGGAGGAGCAGAGATATTGAGTAGGGGGAAGAATAGAGGAGAGAGAGCAGGATGAGAGATACCGTATTAGAGAGAGCCATTATAGGTCCGAGAAGAGATCTGGAACTAGGGAGATCTCCAGAGACCTACAAGGATGACACGATCTGACAATCCAGGCAATGGAAGAGAGGATAACCTAAAAGCCCTTCCCCTAAAATGAGATTGATGACTACTCTTTATGCTATCCTAGAGCCCTCATCCAGTGGCTGATGGAAGCAGAGACAAGACATCCACAGAAATATACTGAGCTGAAATCTGGAATCTAGTTGAAGAGAGGGAGGAGTGAAGATGGAAGGGGTCTGTACCAGGTTGGAGAAACCCACAGAAACAGTTGGCCTGAACAAGGGAGAGCACATCGACCCCAGATGCTATCTGGGAGGCCAGTACAAGACTGATTCAGCCCCCTGAGCATGGATGCCAATTAGGAAGCCTCTGCACTCCAGGGAGCCTCTGCAAGTGGATTAGCAGTTTTCCCTGGTGTAAGAAGGGACTTTGAGAGCCCATCC